ATATTCCAACATTAGAAATTATTAGGTGTTGAAAAAATTTGGATGAGAATGGATAATGCAACTTTGTAGAATCTGTTTACCGAGGCTTTTAAGGATAAGATCTCATCTTTCCATTTACAACCGAAATATACTGTGGGCTTTATAATGAAGTTTAAGAATTGCATTCTGGATCCAAGATTACCTAGATCTGAATTCTACACGTGTAGCTGTTTGACTTTGGACAACACTCTAAGCTTCAGTTACCTGATCTATAAAACAGGGATAAAAATAACAATACCACATCAGGTTGGTGTGAGGCTTAAAACAATAAGGCAAAAGCCTTATTGCCAGTGCCTGATACACAATAAGCTAAAACATATTAACCATTATTATTATATGGTTACTAGGAGCAACTTACATTTTTATCTCGATTTACATAATATGTTTCTAAAATAATTTGTGTAAATGGAAACTCAGATTCTCCCTGGCTTATAGTACAATTTTACATTCTGTCTTTATAAGTGTGATCTAACTGGAAGGACTTCTCACTCGTATTTTGTTTCTCCACGTTTTTCACCACTGCAGAACCATTCATCCACCCAAAGTCAAACATTAAATGGACTAGAGTAATATTTAAATTAAAATAGAAACATCACCATAAAGTTTTAAAACACAATTATGATTTTTAAATTGCATTATCCAAAGTGGGACATCATAGCATGCAATGTCTCAAAGTTCAGTAACTTAACATTTACTGATCATGTAGTAGGCAGATCCCCTTAGAATCCATGACCCCCATACATACTTATTACAGGATAATTTTAAAAGGATATGTTATGTATGAACTAATTAAAAGTGAATTGGGCCAGTCGCAGTGGCTCACACCTATAATCCCAGCACTTTGGGAGGCTGAAGCAGGTGGATCACCTAAGGTAAGGAGTTCGAGACCAGCCTGGTCAACATTGTGAAACTCCGTCTCTATCGAAAAGTACAAAAATTAGCTGAGTGAGGTGGCACATGCCTGTAGTCCCAGCTACTGGGGAGGCTGAGGTGGGGGAATTGCTTGAACCTGGGAGGCGGAGGTTGCAGTGAGTCGAGATCGGGCCACTGTACTCCAGCCTAGGTGACAGAGGGAGACCCTGTCAAAAAACAAACAAGCAAAAAAAGTGAATTGCACATGGTTAATATGATGTTATAGCTTCATAAAACGAAGTCTTCCCTGGGTGGGTAGGTCAGTGCGTGTGTGCGTGTGTGCATGTGTGTGTGTGTACATATGTGTAGTTAATACACTCTAATGAATAGTAATAGTCTGAACTGACAAACAAATGTTTATTGCAGCTTTATTTACAAGAGTAAACAAATAACATATATAACCAACACTAGAAAAATAAATTATATGACCGTCTAAAATAGTTATATGTTATGATTTTTTAAAATATAATGTTAAAGTGAAAAATATTAGTGTGCCTACAGATACGTTAAGATGCATTTTTAAAACCGAAATATTCAAAATGTTCACAGTATTTGCCTCTGGGAGATGGAATTATAAAATACTTTGCTTTTTAAAATAACTACATATAGCTACCAAAACAATTGTAATGTCTACTAACTGTAGACAAAATTTATAAAGAATAAATAAATAAGGAAAATACTTTCAAATTGAGTCTAGTTGAGGATACTAATGAAAACTGTATGAACAACTACAAGCATCTAAAATAACTTCAAAATTAAAATACTACACTGGGAGGTACAATTTCAAAGTAAGTATCAAATTAAGTATCAGTGAACCCCCCCCACTCCCACGCTCCCCAAGGTAATGTTTGAGAAACAAAAACAAAAGAAAAATGAAATTCAATCTAGAGAAAGAAATGACAAAAAATAGACTAAACACAAGGAAAAGTAAGCCAGTGATTTTAGGTTAGCACATCTTAGTTTGTTCTCTTTTATTTTTTTTTCTGCCTCAATACTATTCACAAACACTACATACCCCCAACATTTACATCTCTCATTTTCTATAATGATTCTTGGAAGAGATAAACAGAATCCTAGAAGAAAAGTGTTTAAGGTTTCAAAATGTACCCCAGATTACAATTTAGTGGACGGCAAGTTCGCCAAATAGGGGCATATAAGCTCTACTTGTGCAAATTTAGTAAAGACATACACTAGGGAATTTATGGTTTGAACTAGTTCATTTGGAAAAGTTATTAGAAATTAATTTGTCTCTTTGATATCTTATCTTCTCAGCAAAGTATTACTGGTATGATACCAACAAGGAGAGTTTTCTTTATCCTTAGTCTTGGAACAGGCCCACAGTTATGCTCCCATATTTCCCTCTACTACTATTACAACATACATCATTCTTTTATCACTTCTGCCATTTAATGTCTGCTATCAACTAATTTTAAACTGTAAAAGTTGTAGAATAAAAGAAGTAAAATGGTATCTATGCAGAAAACTGGGTGGGAAAGCTTTCAGCCACTGGAAGAAAGTTGAAGGTTAAATATCTGTTATGTTCAAGGAACAACAACATGGTCTGTGTTGCTGGAGTGAATAAGAAGAGAAGGCAAAGATGAGATCAGAGAGATAATGTAGTCAGAACATGTAGGGTCCCACAGGTTGTAGTAAGAACTTAGGTTTTTTATTTTTAATGGTCTGGGAAACCATTGGAGAGACTTGAAGAGAGCAGTGATCTGATTTGAGTCACAAAGTTTTGGCAACAATATCCTGGCACCTATGTCAAAAGGCTTAAAATCAGAACAAAGAAACCTGCAAGTTATTGCAATAATTCAGGTAATACATGATAGTGGCCTAGACAGAATGGTGACAGCAAGGTGATGGGAAGTAGTCAAATTCTGCACCTGTATTGAAAACATAAAAGGCAACAGTTTTGTTTGGAACACTTTCAGTGTGAGATGCCCATTAGGTATCCAAGTGAAGAGATATTAAGTAGGCAATTAGATATACTCTTTCCTAAAGTACACCGAAGAGATCCAAGGTATATAAACAAATTTACAAATTTGGGAATCATCAGCCTATAGACACAGGTAGAGCATCCAAATCCCAAAATCTGAAATGCTCCAAAATCCTAAACATTTTTGAGCACCAGTATGATGCTCAAAGGAAATGCTCACTGGAGCATTCCAGATTTCAAATTTTCAGCTTTGGGATGCTCAGCCAGTAAATGAAATGCAAATATTCCAAAATCCCAAAAGCTCAAAATGTGAAACACTTCGGGTTTCAGGTTCCTAGCATTTCAGATAAGGGATATTCAACCTGTAGTATAATTTTGAAAGTCAAGGTGATTAGATAAAATCACTTAGGGTGAGTATAAACAGAAAAAAAAGGGAGAGATCCTAAGAGTGAGGCCTGGGACATTTTAACACTTACAGGACATGGAGACTGGGTAAGACCAGAAAGAAATTAAAAAGGGACAGCTAGAAACTGAAGGAAGAAAACCACCCAATTATAGTACACTGGAAGCCAAGAGGGGAAAAAAAAATGTTTCAAAGAACAGAAAAAAAATGTTTCAAGCAACAGAAAGTCATCAATGGGGGAAAAAGAGAAAACAATTAATTAGTATTAATAACAATTAACAAGTATTAATAAAGTATAGTGTTTCAAATCATTTTAGCAATGGAACCTGGTTTAGAAACAAAAAACACAGTGGGCAATGCCACCTCATAAAACAAAAAGGCAGCACTGCTCTAGCTGAAGTGGAGAGAATAGACTGTATCTGCCTGCTTGCTATCATCTAGGTCCTTGGGAAAACACAAAGGGAACACAAAATACACACTGAAAACCACTGTTACAAAGCATCATTTAAAAAACATGTGTTTAAGTTTTAAAGTAATTTATTTCATGTTAATTACAGATACTGGATTTTCACAGTGATTTTTTTAGAAAAGTAAGATCAAAAGTAAAAATCCAATAATTTTAGAGGGATAATATGAACTGTATTATTTAACCTCTCTAAGCCTCACTTGCCTCAACTACTATTATTAAATGAGAATAACACTATATAAACTAAGTTATTTATATAAATAATTTAGCACACTACACAAAACATATGAAGAGCTCAGTAAAGGTTTTTTTTTTTTCAGACATTGTCTCGCTCTGTGGCCAGGCTGGAATGCAGTGGCATGACCTTGGCTCACTGCAACCTCCGCCTCCCAGGTTCAAGTGATTCTCCTGCCTCAGCCTCCCAAGTAGCTGGAACTACAGGCATGCACCAACATGCCCAGTTAACTTTTTGTAATTTTAGTAGAAACAGGGTTTCATCATATTGGCCAGGATGTTCTCGATCTCTTGACCTTGTGATTCGCCTGCCTCGGCCTCCCAAAGTGCTGGGATTACAGGTGTGAGCTATCACGCCTGGCCAATAAAGGTATTTTTTTTTATAATTATTAGATAAAATTATTGCTGCTAAGTCAGTTACCACACCTAAATACTTGGCTAAACCTTCTCAAAAGGCTCCTACAACAACTGTAAAGTAAAAGACTACTGAACAGAAACACACAAAATAAACAGAGAAAAATCCTGGAAAATATTGATCCTAAAGACCTCCTCAGCAATCCCCTTTGTATTTGTGAAGATTTGTCCAAAAATAATGTACAAATTTTACAATGAAAGTCTGCCTTAAGTCATAAACTAGAATCATACTTGACAAAATAATTTCTTATAAGAGCAGGCCAAGGAATTCCATTCCCCAAATCCTTTCCAGTTTTAAGACTATACTCCTAGTATGTTTCACTGCAGCTATCTGAATGCCAATTTATAAAAATAACACCTACAGAGCAAATCTCTATCTATATTTTAAGTGATTCAGCTCTAATTACCATAAAGAAAATTCACAAAATTTTAAATGTTACCAAATTGAACCATCCTTCACTTCCAAATTTTGAGGAAACATATGTAAAAGGAAATAATAATGAAATGCTGAAATGTGAAAAAATATAAATTCTCTGTATGTCCATAAGTTCATACATAAACATTTACATTTTTATTACAGAATAAAAGCATACTTTTTGGTATGATATACTTTCAGCTGTGTGAACATCTTCCTGATTTCTCAGTACTTTTTGTGTGTCCATATTGAGAACCTGAAGCTGCTGGATCAGCTCTGCTTGCTGGGCTGTATGTGTACTGTTCTGTTTGTAAAGATTCTGCAGCTCCTGCAGTTCCTTCCTGTGCAAAGCAAGCAATAAATAGAGAAAAGTATGGATAAAGATCATCTCAGTTAAATAATTGTGTTCATCTAAGGTTACAGACTGGCATCCTACTTTTCATCTATTATTCGTACTGCAAGCAAACTTATTAATAAAAGAAATAATGAAGTACTTAATATTTATCACATACACAGATAAAGTATTGATACAACGACTATGACTTTCAAAGCCAAATACATATTAATTTTCTTTTGTAGCTTGATAGTAATAAAAACCGTGGATATACATAGTACCACCTTTTATTTAAATTAAGTAAACACTTAAGTTTCAAGAATTAACAAGTGGTAAGGTCAACTATAGTTATTAGACAGTTTTGAACAAAGGGTACGTCAACCTTTCATTTTATATCATTATACAGAACTTTAAATTTATTAAAAAGAATCCCAAAGGGCAAATTTAAGTTTTCAAACCAAAGTTCCTTAAAGCACAACTGCCAATTCTAATTTGTAACCTCAGAGTCCTGGGCTGGGATTCTTGTGACTCCTCTAACTCAGCTTGAAGGAACTGATGAGGTTAAAAAAAAGTCAGAAAGTCACAAGAAAAATCTAGTCCTTCCAACCTACCCACGATAAAAGTGATAAGCAGGAGGACAAATGAACTGGTGGTGGTAATGACGGCACTAAGAGTCTAGGAGAACCACGCCTTTGAGACAGAGGTTTCCAGATTGCTGTGGTAGTGAATCCTGTGTAATACAGATTATACAAACTGGGAATTCTTTTGTATATTTAATTTGAACAGAGAAATATTTATAAAGCACTATTACATCAAAATATACTATAAACAGTAGTCTCTTGGTATCTATGGGAGAATGGTTTCAAGACCCACTTTGAATATGAAAGTTTACAGATGCTCAAGTCCCTTATATAAAATGATATAGTTTTGCATATTATCTATGCACATCCTCCCAAATACTTTAAGTCATCTCTAGATTACTTATAATACCTAATACAAAGTACATGCTATGCAAACAATGTTATACTGTATTGTTTAGGGAATAATGACAAGAAAAAGTCTGTAGACTTTATATACATTCGGTACAGATGCAACCACTAATTTTTTTCCCCTGATATTTTCAATCTTTGACTGGTTGAATCCATGGATATGGAATCCATGGATATGAAAGATTGATTGTACTTACATAATATTTTGAAGATTGTATTTCTTAATGGAACTTTTTTTACCTATAACTTTAAACTAGTCATTCATTCACATAAGTCTTAAAAGAAAGGAATAAGAGATAACAGAGACAGTTGTTGAACATGGATGAAAATTAGTATGGGAGCAAGGAGTTCTGCTTCTTAGAGATTTAGAATATTAATGTTCTCAAACCACAACTACCCCCCCTGCATTCATACAGATACATGGATATACACCATTTTCCTATAACAATTCAAAAAACTGAAACATGCAGAAAATAGCAGTCAAAAATGGGGAAAGGGAGAGAAAAGAACCAATAATGGCACAATGCCTTCAGGAAATGTAATACAAGAGGAGGGGAAAAAAGACCCATAGTAATCATGCATGATGATTATTGCCATTTTTCACTAATAACATTAGCAAAATTTATCAACGGAAATACGCAACAGGGCAGGAGAAAATTCCATCATAGTTAAGACATGTTAGCCAGGAGGCCTAAAAAAATGTCGCATTTAGAAAGGAGACATGATGAACATAAAACAAATTATCTTTCAATATAGTGTTAAAACATAGCAAATTTATGTATATTCCAATGTTAGTAGACATCTGGTATTTCTTAATGAGAAGGCCCGAATCAGTAGCTGGTCTTCATTTAAGGATAATGTGCAACAAAATATATGTATCTTTAGTCATAAGAAACACACTAGGCAGGGCGCAGTGGCTCACATCTGTAATCCCAGTACTTCAGAGGCCAAGGCAGGTGGATCGCCTGAGGTCAGGAGTTCAAGACCAGTCTGACCAACAGTGAAACCCCATCTCTACTAAAATTACAAAAATCAGCTGGGCGTGGTAGCATGTACCTGTAGTCCCAGCTACTCAGGAGGCTGAGGCAGAGGAATCACTTGAGGCTGAGGCAGAGGAATCACTTGAACCTGAGCCGAGATCACACCACTGCTCTCCAACCTGGGCGACAGAGCCAGACTCCGTCAAAAACAAAAAACAAAAAACAAAAAACAAACACACACACACACATACACTGAAGGGTAGGGAGATGCTCATACTCTTATGATGCTTTGCAAATTAAAAATCAATCTGGGAAAAAGTACATTTTTCTCTACTATCTCATACTATTTTCTGGGCATGCTCTCAATAAGTGGAAATGAAGCATAATCTTATACTATGCAGATATGTTTATTTCTCTCTATCTCCCCACACCACCCTCAGAAAAGTAGAAGTGATGGCATGTACACCAATGTTGCAAATATAAAAAGCAAGCAAAGCTCACGAAACTCACACATCTGAACCAGCGGAAAGCAATGAATTTGTCTACACCTTTCCTCATTTGAAATTAAGTAAAGAAAAACAGGGTGGGCCAAGATGGTCGACTAGAAACAGCTGTGGTCGGAGGCTCCCCCACCAAAAAGAACGAAAACAATGAGTGAATCCTGCACTGGCAACTGAGGTATCCAAGTTCTCTCATTGGGACTGACTAGGCAGCTGGCACAACCCACAGAGAGCAAGGAAAAGCAGGGTGGTGCAACGGCCCACCTGAGAGCCACACAGGGTAAGGGGAGCTCCTACCACCAGCCAAGGGAAATGGTGAGTGATGGAGCTACTCTGCCTGGGAAACCACATGTTTTCCATGGATCTGTGCTACCCATAGATCAGAAGATCCCCCTCGTGAGCCCATGCCACCAGGGCCTTGGGTCCCAAGTGCAGAGCTGTCCAGATTCTCGGCAGCCTCTTGGTGGCCTCTCAGCAGCCAATGGGTTGGCGACTACCTACAGCTACCAACTTCCTAGTGGAAGGCGTAGCCATCATCACTGCGGCTGCCTGCTGCCTAAGATGCCTGAGTTCCTGGGAAGCAGGGGCAAGGGGTGACAGCCATCACTGCAGCTCCAGTCTGCCAATCTTCCCCTGCCAGTGCCAGGAAGACTAGATGGTTTGGACCCAGACGGAATTCTCCACAGCACACACAGTGGCTATGGCTATGGCAGATCATGGCCAGACTGCCTCTTCAGGCGGAACCCCAACCCATCGCTCCTCACTGGGTGAGGCCTTCCTGCAGGAATTTTGGCAACTGCAGCCAGGGGTTTAGGGACAGAACTCTGATGTTCCTGGGACTGAGCCTCTAGTGGGAGAGGTGGCCACAGTCTTCACAGATTAGCAGACTTAGACTTTCCCCCTGCTAGCTCTGAGGAATCCAGGCAGTCCAGATGAGTGGGATTCCCCGCAGCATAGCACACCTGCTCTGCCAAGGGGCAGCCAGAATGCTTCATTAAGCACGTCCCAGATCCCCTGCCTCCAGACTGGGTGAGATCCCCAATAGGGGTTGCCAGACACCTTATACAGGAGCATTCCTGTTGGCATCAGGTTGGTGCCCCTCTGGGACAAAGATCCCAGCCAGAGGAAGGAACAGGCAGCCATCTTTGCTATTCTGCATCTTCCACTGGTGATACCTCCAGGTGCAGAAGGGACCCAAGTGAATAGGTTCTGGAATGACCCCCAGCAAACCACAGAAGCCCTATGGAAGAGGGGCCTGACTGTTAAAAGAAAAACAAACAAACAGAAAGCAACAATAACAGCATCCAACAAAAAGGTCCTTGCAAACTGAAAGATCAAAGTTAGATAAACTCACAAAGATGAGAAAGAATCAATGAAAAACAATGAAAACTCAAAAAGTCAAAATGCCTCTTCTCCATATGATCATAATACCTCTCCAGGAAGAGCACAGAACTGGGCAAAGGCAGAGATGGATGAACTGACACAAGTAGGCCTCAGAAGGTGGGTACTAATGAACTTAGAGAGCTAAAGGAGCATGTTCTAACCCAATACAAAGAAGCTAAGAACCATGATAAAACATTACAGGAGCTGTTAACCAGAAAAATCGGTTTGAAAAGAACATAAATAACCTAACGGAGTTGAAAAACACAACCTGAGAACATCACAATGCAACAAGTATCAACAGCCAAGCTGACCAAGCAGAGGAAAGAATTTCAGAACTTAAAGACTATCTTGCTGAAATAAGACACGCAGACAAGATGAGAGAAAAAAGAATGAAAAGAAACAAACAAAACCTCCATGAACTTTGGGATTATGTAGAAATACCGAACCTATAACTGACTGGGCTACCTGAAAGAGATGGGGAGAATAGAACCAAGGTGGAAAACATACTTCACGATATCATTTAGGAGAACTTCCCTAACCTGACAGGCAAACATTCAAATTCATGAAATCCAAAGAACCCCAGTAAGATACTCCATGAGATGATCAGCCCTAAGACACATAATCATCAAATTCACCAAGGTCAAAATGAAGGGAAAAAAATGTTAACAGCAGCCAGAGAGAAAGGTGAGGTCACCTACAAAGGGAAACCCATTAGACTAACAGCAAACTTCTCAGCAGAAACCCTACAAGCGAGAAGAGATTGGGGGCCAATATTCAACATTCTTAAAGAAAAGGATTTCCAACCCAGAATTTCATATCCAGCCAAACTAAGCTTCATAAGCTAAGGAAAAATAAAATCCTTTTCAGACAAGCAACTGCTGAGGGAATTAGTCACCACCAGGCCTACCTCGCAAGAGCTCCTGAAGGAAGCACTAAATATCAAAAGGAAAAACCACTACTAGCCACTGCAAAAACACACTGAAGTACAAAGGCCAATGACACTAAAAAGCAACTACATCACTAAGTCTGATAAATAACCAGCTACCATCATAACAGGATCAAATTCACAGATAACAATATTAACCTTAAATGTAAATGGGCTAAATTCCCCCAATTAAAAGACACAGAATGGCAAGCTGGATAGAGTCAAGACAC